TTGCTTGCTTCATAAACTTCTTCTTCTAAGTGAAAATCACAGTATTAAAGTCCAAATTAAATTTTATCTTGAATTTAAACACTCACACATACACATAAAATTATATGTATATATGTGTGTGTGTGTCTATATATATATATATATATATATAAAGGTTAATATATTAACACTTAACACAAGAAAGATACAAATATAATGTGTTGGAGGGCCCAAACATGACACCCTGCCCAAACCAAAACCACAAGGGGTTCCAAAACTAGAAAATACAGAAAAGTACATTAGAGACATAAAGAAAAAACCTAAAAATGTTGAAATATATAGTATTAGGTGGCTAGAGAGCAACCCAATTTGGTTTTGGCAAGCTAATATGTTCTAGGGAAGGAGCAAACTAATAAGTTGGTAAGATGATTGCCATTGCCGGTAGTAACCAATGTCAGCAGTAACCAATGTATCATCCAATATGTTCCCGAGCTAGAGTCGGCCTCCATTCTTTTGCTTCCTCCTAGAATAGACCTGTCATTCCATTCCGAGGATTGAGGATTGGGTCTTCTGATCTTGTTCTAAAGTGTGTTGGAGATGTGCAGATAGTTGAATATTAGAAGCAACTACATGTTGTATCGGTTGATCTGTTATTGGATCAAAAAATTCCCCTCTCGTGTTTCTTGACATGTATGTGAGTCTTCTTCAATAACAATGAGTGGTATAAGCACAACTGGATCTGTAGTTGTAGTATGTTGTTCTTCTTCAGGAACTGCGGTGTTGGGAAGAGGATCGGGTTGCATCTTCTCAACAAGGATAATATGTGGTTGTTCTTTAGCGATATTTAGAGATAGCAAATAATAGAGCTGTGGCCAAACATATTACAATGAGAGCAATAAGGAGGGTGTGATTCGATTTCAACCTTTTGCCAATACCGGTTATGAGTGCTTCCAATCCACACCTTATCCGGAGCTGGTTGAGTCATATCTCTCTCAACTAACACACAAGTCACAGAGGGTCTGGTGACAGCAAGCGTGAGACTATCAACCCTGAGAGGCTTACCGTAAGCAGTTGCTAAGAAGTAGAGAATTTCTAAGTTAAACAGACGTAATTTTAACCCCGAGAATTTTATCCAAACTGGAATGATAGGGGAAATGATAGGGGACTCCGCTTTTGCGCTTTTGGGTCGAAACCAATAGTCCACTTCAGAATTTTCATATAGCGGTTGTCGATCCTGATAACTTTCCGAGAAAATATGCGAGTGTAATCGACATCATGAGACAACTGAATCAGTATGTGACGACCGTCAAGTAAACCAATATTCCAACTGTCCAATAGCTTCATAGCCTCAAAATCATTCCGAATGATCTCCAGTTTTGGGTGACCATATAGAAATTTCTCCACTAGAGCAAAGCGCCAGGAGGACGCGAGAATACTAGTTTCAACCTCTGTGAGAATAAGAGCAAGTTTCTCATTTTTTTCTCAATTTTTTTATGAAGGTGTGATCGCCACCACCTTCAAGACCGTCGTGCGTCGTGAAAAGAATGAGGAACATTGCAGGACTTGTCAATATGAAAACCAGACTCTGACCCTGAAAGAGAAGCACGAGTAGAAATAGGAATGTCGCCGGCAAGTGCAATGGTATAAGAACGGATCATGGATTGTGGATGCCATCCCCAAAGCACAGCTAGGGGAGCCGCTGGAAATAGGCGAGCAAAACTTCGGAGGTAGTAGAGCTGCGAGCCGTCGACTGCAGGTGAGAGACGCGATCCGAGAAGAACTATCTGTCGGGCAGGGCGACAGAGCAAGAGAGACGACGCGCGTCGTCAACTGCGGAGTTCGAGAGCGTGAGACTGGAGGATGAGAGTTGCGGGCGTCGTGGAATTTCGTGGAATACGAGAGCTGCGAGCATGGTCGAGAGCATGTGAGACGTCGTCGAGTGTGCGCGTCGTGGACTCGTCGACTGGAGGACGTCTGTGACAGCGTGAAACTTCGTCGTGAAAGACGACGAAGAGAAATGAGAAATCAATGAATCACCGTCGGGAATCGTCAAGGAGGAGCGAAACCCTAGCAACCATATATATATATATATATATATGATTTCTTTTTTTAAATTCTCAAATATTTACCTTATAACTTTCGATCAGCAGCCCTAAGCTCATGCACGCCCGAGTTCAGCTCCCCTTCTCTTCTTCCCATACGCGAGCACGAAGCTGATCTCTTCTTTTCTTCTTCGTGGCTCGGCGGAACTCGACTGAGCAGCGCACACATAGGTTCAGCTCTACCCTAACCAACAATCGACCACGCAAGCTTTTCCACCCCCTTCGACTTCTTATTCGTCATCTTTTTCTTCTCGACCGAATTCGTCTTCCACTGCACGCAAGTATGGTAACAGTGCATGAAGCCAATCCTCCTTCCTCTGTAAGCAGAGTTCGGACTCGACTTCGAAGCTTTTCTCCTTCAACTTCTTCCTCTTTGCACACTCGGTTCTTCTCATTCAATCTTGACGAACTCAACAGAGCAGCACACGCAGAGGCTTTGACTCTCCTTCCTTCTTTTCCTCTACTTTCTCTTTCAGAGCAGCACACGCAGAGGCTTTGACTCTCCTTCCTTTTCCTCTACTTTCTCTTTCGAGAACAGAAGGTTGCCTTCTTCCTCATTCTACTTCTTCGACTAGAGCACACACGATCTTTCCCTCTATTGTCTTAGGTTTTTCTCTCTCATTGTCTCTTACTCGTTTGCTTATGTTCGATGGTTCGAATGACGAAACGATCAAATGATAGCAATATGTTTGATCCAGGGGCATCTATCTCCTTTAACCGTCGGTATCCATTTATTTTATTATTATTATTTTAACTCTCTGTTATTACATGTGCATCTGTCTAGGATGAATGTCGGAAACAACAAACTAGGAATCTGGTTCAATCTTTTGTGCTGGTTCAACAAGCTCAACCTCAAAACCTGGGTGAACTCTTTTGAAATTTGTTTTTTCCTATTTAGCACTAGTATTATGTTAATTTTTGGGGGAATTATATATGTATTTGCTTGTGGACTTATTAAAGACTTTTGTTTTGTTTTGAGCATATTGGAGATTGCATTCTCTAATATTTACATTAAGAAGTGTTGTATTATCTTTCTTTTGCAAGAGGTATATATGTAGCTTATGCAAGAACAGGTGATGAACCTCCTCGCTATCTCGTGGTTCTCTCTTCGTTGTTTTCAAACTGAACAGCCACCAAACATCCCCTATCCCTTTCCATAAGCCATTGAATTCTCATATTCTCATTCCCATATCATTCCACAACCATCTTCCTACTAAATATGCTTCTTAAACACCTTATAGAAGCCCTATAAAGGTGTCAATTTGCCCAAAATATTATACACAATATATTATTCAATCAAAAGGTAGAATATATATATCTGATGATATTAATGGTCGAACCATCAATACACATTCTCCATTAATCATCTTCTTTGGGATTAGCAAGGCTAAAATTGCACAAGAATTCAGACTAATAATAAATTTTTCCTAGGTACTCAACTTATCTTTCGAGATAGGTCATGCCTAGAGGAATTCAATCTATGATGGGGAAAGTCGATAAATTATGAACTTATTAGATATGTTGATTAGATCTAAGGGAAATTTGTCAAAAATTAGTTTCATAAAAAAACTTCAAAATTACAAGATTTGAAATATCCATGAAGAAGTAAATCTATGTGAAGTAACAAATACTTAAAAAAGTGGCAATAGATATACTTGAGGAATAAAAAAGAAACATCTTAATAAACAAAAGTAATTAGTGGTGGAATAATAATATGCAAGAAAACATAAAATATAAAAAAATTTGTTATGAAAATTGGTTTAAATGTAAAAACTTAGAAAACACAAAAAAATATAAGAAGACACGTAGAACATCTAAGAGAACAATTCGTGATGCTAAGAATTTTGTTTTTAGTAATCTTTATAATATATAAGATCCTAAATAGGGTGAAAGATATATGCAAAAACTAGTTAAACAAAGAGAAAAAAAAGGGTACAAATTATTGATGGTTATTTATATGCAAAAACTAGTTAAACAAAGAGAAAAAAAAAGGGTACAAATTTTTGATGGTTCCGCGATTGGCAATGCTTTGAAGGGGATCGTCAAGCAAGGAACTTCGCGAGCCGAGACTTAAGGGCAGAAATCTCCTTCAGCTTCGCGAGATCAGGAAGGGGCGGCTTCGTGAATCACGTGGCAAATATTGCATATTGGAACGGTAAGGTTGGCTGCGGGGTCAATCCTACGGCCCTGCGTTCCGTCAAATTCGCGGCGGGCGGGGCCACGAACGCCTGATTCAAATGCCAAATCCTACAATCGCGTCACGGTTTACGGCTGCGCCGCACAAAAATAGCAGCCCCAAATGGGCCCTAAAAGTTGTAGTTTATTGTGCATAACATAAGATAATATAAAACTAAGTTTAAATTTAGAGTACAATAGAACATCAAAACTCATTATTTTTCCCCGCCAACTTTTAATGTGATGACTACCACTTCATATTCTTAAAAATGGTCATCAATTTAAAAATTACTTATAAGCGATATATTTATATTTTTCTTAGCATTTGGTTTTGCTCCAACAAGCACCTAGGTCATGCATATTTCATCAGCATTAGACAATCATGTCTCTTTTTAGGAGTGCCTAATCTGCTTTACAACATTATCTCTAACTACATCTAACAAAATGACGAAATCTAGTAAATTTATCGTCATGCAAACATGGTTTATATCTTTAACAAACCAAATGAAATCTAATACGAGACTTAGGGTGAGTTAGCCATTCTTGAGAATTTAAAGACAATTTGCTTTTTTGGCAAAATAAAGTTCCTCTAATATTCAAATTAATTAATAAATAAATAAAGTAGAGCAGTAGGAGTAATTAACAATAAACATGTAAAGTTAGAAAAATAGTAACCCTTTCAAAGTCAATAAATTACGTCAGCCACGTTGTAACAGTAAGTATTTAGATTTAGCTGTAGAATACCTATTCCATAACCAATTAGGTTGATAACTGTCAACTTTGTATCAGAAAATAGAGCGGCAGAAAATAAAACCACCACCCAGTCCCTCACAACTCCAGCAACACGAATAGTCAGTGCACTTGTTCTCGAGATAACAAGGAAAACTGAGAGATTGAGCACAAAGGTGCAGAGGCAGTTAAGAAACAATATAAGAGGTGGAAAGTTCCAAGGCCCGGCAGAATCCATTTTTGGCTTGTCAAGGAATAACCATGGGACAAAGAGGCAGAATGCGCTGCAAAGAAAAAGCTTTTTTTTTTTTTTTTTTTTTTTTTTGCAAACAAAGATAACATAATGTCAAACTAATTTATAATCTTAGAAAAGGTGTGAGAGATGACATACCTGCATGGACTGACATAATACATCACTGATATTGAGTTCAGGCGTATGCCTTTTCTTTTCACAAAAATTTCCATGAAGATAAGCCTGAGGGCTTCTCCTACCACACCACCCATCTGATATACCACTCCAACCCAACTAACAGTGACTTCCCCATAGGAGGCAATAATAACCCCTAAACTGATGACAGACATTATCAGAAACATTCTGCAACTCAGTACTTCAAGGCCAGCCGCAGCGCCAAGAATGAATACAGCTACGGGCACTGCAAAAGCAACACAGAAAATATACACACTTGCACATCAAGAGACGAAGAGCAGGGAAACACTATCATTGTGCTTAAAAGAAAGAGCATAGGCGTCACTTACTGACAGCTTTCAACATCTGCGCAAAAGCAACAGATATGTAGAGGTATGCACTGTTTCCCAACCATAGGGTCATTGCAAACATTGCACCAATTGGAATAATGGAGGTAAAATATCTGGGTTTTAATAAGCCAATTAGTACAGTATTGCATATTCCCTCTACGAAAGTGATAGCATTTTTTTGGAAAACTAATTGAGCCACTTGTCAAAACTAATTGAGCCACTTGTCACTCAAAAGAGGAAAGACTAGCAGTTTTAACAGAATAAAAAAATATATATTTTCAATAAGAGAGACAAGGCTGCAAGTTTCAAAGGTTCTTAAAAGTCGTATGATGTAAGAGGATTTCCTTCACTCAATACAAAAAATAAACAACAATCATAGAACTACAGGCTTAACATCTTATGGTCCACAATGGACTGATAGGTCATATACTTGTATTCGGACATGATTGATGAAGAAGTCATGGTCATCTTCGTAAAAAAATTTAGCTACACCTTCTCCATAGATCAGAAATTTTGAAGGAAATGATCCTGTCAAGCGGTCTTAGGTAACAATGCAAAACCCCTTAAGTTGAATGAAGTCGAACTCTTAAACATCAACGCGCCTTTTAGTGTAACGGTGAAATTTCAATATAAACTCCAAAGTTAAGCATGCTCGTCATGGTGCACTCCTAGGATGGGAAACCTCGTGGGATATTACACCAACGAGGCAGAATCATGTACTATTTGGCCAAAGCGGAGACTAACTTGATGGTTGAGAGTTTGTACGGTCAAAAATGGTAGCAGAGCATAACAATAACCGAAAGATGAGAACTAGGAGGTATACAAAACAAAGAGGTACGCCATGAGAGACACTTTTTGAACCCAATGTGAGACAAAGTGCTACATAGTGGGAGCACCTCTTGAATCTGCAAGGGCCACCTCTAGAATCCTATATACGTGGTGGATGATTATCGGATACGAGAACTGACGAGCACAACAGCTACTTAAGTGGGGGAGATTGTGAAACCCCTTAAGTTGAATGAAGCTCAACTCTTAAATATCGAGATGTCTTTTAGTGTAACGGTGGAATTTCAATATAAACTACAAAGTTAAGTGTGCTCATCATGGAGCACTCCTAAGATGGGTGACATCTTCGGAAGTTATACCAAAAGGGCAAAATTTTGATGTCATTTGGACAAATCGAACAATATGTTGATAAGTGAGTTCGGGTTGTTACAAACATTACGGCAAAGAGTTTATCTCCGAGAAAGAATCAATTTTCGCATTTTGATGTCATTTGGACAAATCGAACAATATGTTTATAAGTGAGTTCGGGTTGTTACAAACATTACGACAAAGAGTTTATCTCCGAGAAAGAATCAATTTTCGCCTCGGTTTGAGTTCAAATGGAGCCAAAAAAATATCAGCCACAAGCCACATTTTTTACCAATCTAATCTTGACGTTAACTTCAGGCCAACCAAGATAAGATCCAACTCAATTGAAATTTGCTTGAAAATAAAAAATTATGAGTATTTTTAATATTAAATATAATTACATACTTGTGCAAATGCATGTAAGCATATATATATATATATATATATATAGAATAACACACACACACACTAAGGAATGGGTCGGGGCGTGAGGTCCCCAACCCATCCTATTGGCTCAACCCCCGTAAGGTCATGCGCCTAAATATTTGAGTACCTCCTTTTTAAGACAACAGTTGTCAGAGGCGGGATCCGAAACTCAGACCAAAGGGGACTTACACCACCGAAGCGGATGCTATACCAAATGACCTGGGAATGCGGTATATATATATGTCATATATATATATATATATATATATATATATATATATATTCACTCCCCCTTAAGGGTTAAGGGTTAACTATGGTGTGACAGAGGTGATCGATCCAATCAGACCAAACTTTCACCAGCACTCGTCCTCACTTGACAAAATCAAGACCCAGCGAGTAAAAGAATTAGTCTAATTAAATCGCCACAAATAAAAACAATTAATTTCATTTTATTATTCGTTCATATATTTAGAAGCGTGAAAATCATATCATTAAAACATATACAGAGCTCCAGAATTCTATTGACTGCCTAAATCTATACAATGCAAAAGTTGTACATGTCACATCAAGCTACTCGTCACGATGCTCCTTACAATTTCCCAAAAAATAACAGTGAGCTACAACAAGCTCGACAAAATAATCAGAATTAAATAAGATTTTCTAAATAAAAAATAAACAAGGTGCATGTCCATATGTAGCTCAAATAAATGTCCACATCACAAGTCATAATATATTATAATCGTATAAAATATGTAAAAAAGTCATGTAAGGCAAGGGAAAATGAAAGTTGTATACAACATGAATTTTATTAATTTATGCGTAATTATAAACATATTTATAAGAGTCATCAATCTAATCATAGGAATGTCACTTGTAATTATATAAGCCTCAACTATTTCCAATGTCATACCATGTCATGAGTTGTCGTCTAGCCTGAAGGCTACATTAAGTATTAATAAAAGTTAGGCCCCTCCCAATATAGCATTTATCAATAGTTCATCTGGTACCAACAGTTTCCTACATTCCGTCCCTATTTCATCCTAACAGTTCCCAAAATTTCATCTTTGTTTGAATACCATGAGACAAAAATCCTATTTTTCTTTATCATCAATACTTACAAGTATTCATGTAATAGCTTACAGATAACATCACTTATGATATTTCATAAATCATAATTCTTATAGCAAACATTCATTATAATATTTATGTTGTCGATTATGAGCATCTTTCAATCTATCTCTGACTAACCTGATTTTTTCTGTGGATTCATCAAGTGACTCGGGAACTAACATTTGATATTCACTCAATTCAACCAAACATAATAGAGTTCTGTATTTTGCAAATACGATTTGGACCTGAGTCAAATTGAAGAATTTATGTCGTGGTGTTAACCTGATTGAAAGTGGTACACCACCTGATTGAAAGTGGAATGAACCAATCCTTGAAAGTGGAATGGACCGAACCTTGAAGACTTTAACAAAATTATCTCACTGAATTTGTGGAAGAGTGGTTAGCTGAAATCTCTCTTTATGCTGTGTTTGCCACCACCTCTCAGCTTCGCCTTCTAGAAAGCCTATGAGAGATTGAAATGAGGTTAAATAAAGCCCAATAGCAAAATATATTACAAAAGAAAGAAATTACAGATAGATTGTATGAGATGGCCCAAGCATGACGTCTTACCGACACGATAAACACCACATAAACACCACATGCAAATAGTTTCAGAAAAAGAGAAAAGACAGAAAAATACATGAGAGCCCAAAAACCAAGTGCCAAAACATGTAATATCAGGTAGCTAGAGAGCGACCCAATTTTATCTTGTCTCTGTCTCTAGTTCTAGAAAGGAGCCAGTTGAGCTTGAGTCGGCCTCCATTCTTCTTCTTCCTCCTAGAATAAATCTGTCATTCCTCATCCGAAGAATGAATCATCTGATCCGTGGATTAGTCTAAAGTGTGTCGGACATGTGTAGGTTGTTGAACATTGGAAGCATCTACTTGTTGTACCAACTGATCTTTTATTGGATCAAATGAGCACTCTCATGTGTCTTGGCATGTAAGTGAGTCTTCTTCAATAACAATGAGTGATATAGAGAAGTTTGGATCAATATTAATAGTATGGGGAGATGTTTCACAAGACTCCAGAGTACCATGCTCTAATCCAGCAGTTGGAATAGAGTTTTCAAAAGCAGGAGCATCCAGGGGTGGAACAGCTTGGGTATGATCATCATCTAAGACAGCAAAGGTTTAAATAGCAGGGTCATCAGAAAATTTCTTATTAAGAACAGCGTCAATCAGATGAGCAGAGCTAGTTTAGTTGCGGTGTTGGAAAGGGGGTCGGGTTGCATCTCCTCAGCAGGGATGGTAGGTGACAAGACGTCCACCTCCAGTAAGTGGCAAGACGTCCACCCCCAATTCGGTACGAATAGATTTTTGAACGGGTTGTTGATCTTTAGCAATATACAACCTTAATAGTAGAATTGTGGTCAAACATACTACAATGAGAACAATAAAAAGTGTGTGGTTGTATTTCAACCTTTTGCCAACACCGGTTGTGAGTGAATCCAACTCATACCTCATCAGGAGCTGGTTGGGTGATATCTTTCTCAACTAACACACAAGCCACAAAGGGTCTGGTGATAGCAAGCGTAGGACTATCTACTTTGAGAGACTTACCGTAAGCAGTTGCTAAGGAGTAGAGAATTTCAAAGTTGAACAGGTGTAATTTTAACCCCGAAATTTTTTTCCAAACAGGAATGATGTTTCAAAGTTGAACAGGTGTAATTTTAACCCCGAAAATTTTTTCCAAACAGGAATGATGAGGGACTCCGCTTTTGGATCAAAATCAATAGTCCACTTCATGATTTTCATAAAATGGTTGTCAATCTTGATTACCTTTCGAGAAAAAATACGAGTGTAGTCAGCACCGTGACATAACTGAATGGATATATGTCAATCGTCAAGTAAGTCAATATTTAATCTACCTGATAGCTTCATAGCATCAAAATCTTTCCTAATGATCTCGAGTTTAGGGTAAGATAAAGGAATTTCCCCACTAGAGCAAAACGCCAAGAAGATGCAAGATTATTGATTTCAACCTCAGAGACAAAAAGAGCAAGTTTCTCATTTTTTTTATCAAGTTTTTTAATGAAAGTGTGATCACCAACACCTTCAAGAACCTTGTGGAAGAATTGTGGAAAAATGCAGAACTTATCGATACCAAAACTAGGCTCCGAACCTGCAGACAGTAGCGGCATAACTCCGCTCCATCCGCGTGTCAGAGAAGGGCAACAAGGATCGGACTAGGTGTATGCTCGACGGAAGGGACGAGGTCGAGCAGAGAAGGATCTGACGTCAGAACACAGTCAACATGAAGAAGGATGAAGTGCTAGAAGCCGCACCGCAAGAACAAGGAGAAGCAGGCAGTCGAGGCACGGGCGAAACAGGTGAACGAAGTCGAAGCAATCGCAAAGTCGAGCGGACAAATTTGAAACAGATGATGTCCCGAAATTGGAGCAGAAGAAATAACTAAGTCGTATCAGTGCGAGAGCCTTACT